TGACTTCCCACAGAGAAGCTCATCAGAACGCACTGGTCTATCCGAACAACACGAACAAATACACTTCCCAGAAGGCCGCTTGTAACGGGACAAGGCAGCACAGCTACGACACAACGAGGGCGTGATGCAACGCGTAGTGGCCTTTCGATATACACGAGGTTAACGTCACTCATCCTACCCTACGAATATCCGATTGAAAGCGACATCTGTCGATACCGAAGTCGCCACAAAAGATACACAGTGAACACTTTTTCATCGAGAAACACTATTCTCTGTGGGTGTACTGTATGAGGCAGCAACAATATCACTCTTGGATAAACACACAAGTGAAAATCGATCTTGTCGAAGGATTTGATCGACGAAGTCTGGGTGGATAAGTCGCCTGTCAGTCTGCGCGAGGTCCACGACGGACCAGCCCCGAGCTTGGACCTTCGCAAGGAAGTCGGACGAGTCCCTAGTTCTCTCTTTGAGACATATGACCACTCGAGCTGAGGCAGGATGGATCAAAAACTGCCACTAGTGAGATGAATCATGACCGCACCTCCATCCGATCCCACTAGATCATCGAGTGCTGCTAACAACGGTTCAGCGGGGGACTGAGGATAGACCAGGTCGCTACCTGCCATCGGGACACGTGTAGTTATGAAGTTCGAGAAGCGTGGTATCTCACCCACGATGACTGATGGCCGCCGACCACCCCGAGACTCAAACAGGGCCCGAGTGTCATCTGGACTGCCCCACATGAGTTTGTGGGAACTAATCCGATCCTTAGGAATCTCATTTTGGTCTAGGTTCCGCTCAGCGAGCTTCAGTACCTGCTAACATTGATTACCACAGACTGCACCGCTTCCTTTTCCCCCAACAGTGCACGGACCTGATCATTGCCATCCGTGGCGACCATCTTTGCTCCCAAGCTCGCCAATGCGAGGGAGACCAGTCCCGTGCCACAGCCCAGCTCGACACCATAGTTCTCCGTATCAGGACCAATCGGCAACTAACAGAGCCTTCCCATACCATACGCGACATGCAAAAAGCCACCTTCAGAGCGCTAGATTTCCCTCGCAGCAAAAATGCCTGGCAAAGACAGTAGGCGAGAATGATACCACATTCCCATACTGCACAGCCAGTCTTGTCAGTCGATATAGATGTGAAACTGCTAGACACTGATTCCTGCCTGAAAAACGACCAAATGGGAATACATTTCGAGCGACGAATTTTTGCCTCAGCGTTAGCTTCACATCGCCAGGTAGGCTGACCACTCTCCAAGGTAGTAAACTTGGAAGATGTCGTCCCACGCCTTCCACGAAAAGTCTGACACCTTGATCGTCCATAACAGCACGAGGCCGTTCCGATGAGGCAGAGTTGGTATGGAAGATCAGAGATCGACCCACCGTCGCCGGCGGCTTGGGCTCTGAGACAAAGCAGAGGAACTATAACTAATCGGCTGCAAACAGTGGGAGTGTGATACCCATTTTCGAGGGACACACACACTCCGTAGGCGTATAGGGCGATGATCTTGAGGGCATCGTATATATTATTACATTCCGTTATTAATACCTCTAAAATCCGTCAACTCATCTAGAACTGCAGTAACTTCTGCAAACACTGAGATGCTCAAATACAAGTCAAGCTGGACCAGCCCTTGGTAGTGATTGGTCGACGTGTCAAGCTCTCGTGTGAGGCTCATGAAGTCTCGACAGGCACTGGAAGACAGACGGTATACAACCGACTGCCTCTTGACTACTGCTACTACCTCAATGCAGTCCTACCACCGCTCACAACGAGCTGCACAGTAGCCACACTCTGGTGATCACGAGAAGTTGTTAACTTCAATAGCTTGTTATCAACAGGTAGTCGAGTCCCCGGGCTCACGATCACATGCACGACCTCCGAACCCAACAACCGTACACCTGAATACCGTATCGGTATAGACACTTACAAATCCAAATACATCAACATATGAGCGATATATAATGCGACCTTACAAGCGATCATCTATACACTTGGATGCAAACAATTCGCAGCCAGTTTACTACCAATCATGAGAGGGCATTCTTCTATAACGGGCATTCCCAAAGGTATGGGAGCCGCAACTTTCCCATTATCGACTCTCTCAGCAGCCATATTAACCTCACAAGGAACTTCAAAATGAAGACACCCCCGTAGACTGCATCCGGTCTTCCCCCTGCGGGGCCAGTGGTCTGTGGCACCATCACACAGCTGACTATCACACAACACCGCGGTTGATCACTCACATGTCTACCATTCATGCATACATCGTGTTGAGAGAGCACCAAGCGAGGCTTGCGTCACTCGTTGCCGCGGACTCAACGTAGATGTGTAACTAGCTAGTGGTGATTATAAGCTGCTCTAATCGACAGCCGAAAATGCAGCAGCGCAGTAAGAATCAGTACGCAGTACGAGCATACATAGCAGTCAGTGATGAATTATATGTGTACAACTACTCCTCCAAAAACCTCCAAAAGTGATAATACACAACCTCAGAAAGCGGATGACAACCGAATTCCGCGCTACACATCGGTTCTAAACAACTCGTAATGGCTAACGTCCACAGCATCACAACTTAACCGCAGCCCTTCAGAGTATCGCAGCAATCTCTTGGAGACGCCACACAACTTCTGTATACAGCAGTAATGCAATGTGTCAAACGGACAACTATTAGCGAGTATCAACTTCACCTTCTCCTCGCAGATGCACTGGGAGTGCATTCCACACGACTCCGCTTACAGGAGTGCCTCAGTCCACCGCTATTACGACGTGGCTCACAACCATAGCTGACCGGAAAGACGGACCCAACAGAAATAGCAGCAGCAGTCCGCCCAGCGAACAACGCTTGCTCGTCGACCCAGCACCATTTCGAAGAGTCGAAAACCAGCGGCTTGTCGTGGACAACCCTCACAGGTTCAGATAGCCGTCTAGCATGAACCGCTTGCACACGGAGGGCTCTCGTGATCTCCTGTAACAACTGTGCAGCAGCGTCCCGCTCACGTTGAGTACCACTGTCAGAGTTCGGGCGAGTACTATGAACTAGAGTGAAGTATCGTTGCATCGCTCTAGTTACCGCTTCGTCGATAGAAGCTGGCCGAGTTGATGAATCTTGGGAGCGACTAGGCGTTGACGGAGCATCGAGTATAGAGTCATCTGAAGCCCCCTCGAGTGGAACAAATATACTGGAGCGATCAGCTGCAGCGCTGTTGCTGTTGTTGACGAACTCCGCCAAGATGTCAGAGGACTCGGTAGATCGATCCGATCCTGGACTAGAGACCGAATCACTCCCACTATCAGTGATCTCCGCGGCGTTGGCAGGGATGGGATTTTCACCTCCGACCAGAATAACACGGCAACCAACAGTCACTGCACGACAGCCCGCTCTAGTGGATGGCATCTCGGGTATCTCCTTGGCATGAGCGTCGACTGGCATCACTCGACCCAGGATAGGTGCTTCATGGAGAGGTACAACATGAGTACCTTCCAACGGTATCACCTCTGAAGTAGCAACTTCTTTGAAGTCCCCGTCGATCACCACATAACCACCAAACACTCCGATAGCGGATTTAGACTCGTCGAGCCATGCAACAGCGCATGCCGACCGGCCAACCTTCAGTCGAGTCGAAAGTACCGACCAAACGTGAGGAGTGACTGTTGTGTCCAAGACGTAGATAAGGTCTGAGAACTGCAGAGGGGAAGATCCAACATCTCCACCAACGATGTATAGCAAACCGTCCTTCTCGATCACCCGACCACCAGCAAGAGGGCGCGGCAGGCATATTTTCAATTCTGGTTGTTGGAGCCACCGACCGATTTGAGTGTCGAAAACTTCCACTTCGGAAACTAATTGTCGCTGAGAGTCTCCTCCTATAGCGTACAGGTATCGGTCGTCAACAAGAGCGAGACTGTGCCCGAAGCGAGGGATACACATGGAGGACTTCAGCCGTTTCCACCGGTTCAACCACGGGTCGTAGACTTCCACGCATCCAAGTGGTTGGTCGGGGTGGACACGATAACCACCCACGACGTATAGATGATCACCGACGACCATTGCAGCTGCACCAACTCGTTTGCTGCGCATCGGCGGTACTCTTGACCATTTCTTAGAGTAATCGTCGTAAACCTCGACAGTGCTCAAATAACGATTAGAATCCATAACGCGTGAAGAGCGTCCACCACACACGAATATGCAGTTTCTTACTGGTCGGTCATAGTGAATGTAGGGAACGATGTTGTCAATGATGACGTCCACGGGAATAGATGAGATAGGGCACGTTTTCGAATCGCAGTGCTTCGCAGCCGAAGTTAATAGGGCGACTACTTGCGCTCCATTACGGTCCACCCAGCGGTTACGGACCGGAGGAGCGAGGTGTGGCGTAGCACTTCGCCGATTCATAGTAAAAACGTAATAAACGTATCTGAGAACATTCTCCAGAAAACAATGCAATCCTGCTGAGGTTGGTTTTGGTCTTGTCTCCCACTCGATCAAACTGCAAGCACCAAGTGCAAGAAACCTAAAGATGCGCATTAATAAACTCGCTCGCCTGTAATTCGAGAAGTAACGGTTATGCAATGTTGTGCTAGTAGCAGCCTAACTGATAGTGTCGCTGTAAATTCGTACTTGGGCATTTCAGTGAGCTTTACACAGTATTGTTCTCTTGCTTGAACTGAGGAAGGTTTGTCGTTCGAGATTGTCCGTAAGCAGCTCGTGATGTTCGTCATGACATCTTTCGAGTGGATGTTATTTTTCTGGCGAGAAGATTTCCCAGAGTTTTATACCTATGTCTACCGGCAAAGAAGGCAAGGTTCATATGTCGATCGTGATCTGTGGTCACGTCGATTCCGGCAAGTCTACTACTACTGGTCGTCTTCTTTTTGAGCTGGGAGGCATTCCTGAACGTGAACTCGAGAAGCTCAAGCAAGAGGCGGATCGTCTTGGTAAATCGTCTTTCGCCTTCGCGTTCTACATGGACCGACAGAAGGAGGAACGTGAGCGCGGTGTCACCATCGCGTGTACCACAAAGGAGTTCTTCACTGATTCGTGGCATTACACTATTATCGATGCTCCTGGCCATAGAGATTTCATCAAGAATATGATTACTGGTGCATCCCAGGCAGATGTTGCTCTTCTCATGGTTCCTGCTGATGGTAACTTTGGCACTGCTATCGCCAAGGGCAATCACAAGGCTGGTGAGATCCAAGGTCAAACTCGTCAACATGCCCGTCTTATTAATTTGTTGGGCGTCAAGCAACTAATCGTCGGCGTGAACAAGATGGACTGTGATGTTGCCGGGTACAAGGAATCTCGTTATATTGAGATTCGCGACGAGATGAAGAATGTTCTTGGCAGAGTTGGTTGGAAGAAAGACTTCGTTGAGAAATGTGTTCCCGTCATTCCTATTTCTGGTTGGATGGGCGACAATCTGATCAAGAAGTCCGAGAAAATGTCTTGGTGGAAGGGTGTGGATGTCACTCGTGACCCCGCTTCTAAGGAGTCGTTCCATATCGATACCCTCCTAGACGGTCTCGAGAAGTTCGCTACCGTTCCTAAGCGTGTGACTGATGCACCAATGAGAATGCCCGTCTCTGGTATCTACAAGATCAAAGGTGTTGGAGATGTGATTACCGGCCGTGTTGAGCAAGGCATCGTCAAGCCCAACGAGGAGGTTGTGTTCATGCCTACTCACACGCCGTCTACTGCTTGTACTGGTAAGGTCTTTACTGTTGAGATGCATCACACCCGTCAGGAGCAGGCTCTTCCGGGTGACAACGTTGGTCTGAACGTTAAGGGTTTGCCGAAAGAGAATATGCCTCGTTCTGGAGATGTTATGGTCTACAAGAAAGATACCACTCTTAAACATGTGCAATCTTTCACTGCTCAGGTCCAAGTTTTGGACGTCCCAGGCGAGATTAAGGTTGGTTATTCTCCTATCGCTTTCGTGCGTACTGGCCGGTCTGCTTGTCGTTTGGCTGGCATTAAATGGAAGGTTGGCAAGGAGACTGGTGGCAAGAAAATGGAGGACCCTCATGCTCTCAAGTCTAACGAAATGGCTGAAGTCGTATTCGAACCTATTCAGCCTCTTGTTGTCGACTCCTTCAAGAACTGTGAGGGTTTGTCGCGTGTTGCTCTGATGGAGGGTAACGGGGTGGTCATGCTTGGCAAGTGTGTCTCCACCGTGGCGAAAGACGTGAAGTAGGAATTGATGGTATCACTCTGATTTGATTGTGAATGGTTTAATGCTTCAAAATAGATGGATCAGCCTTCTCCTGAGAAGCGTCGTTATGTAAGGTAAAAAAGGCTCTTATTTTAAGTAGTTGTGTTTTGTTGTAGTAGAGGTTGGTCAGAGGTGGGAGGGCTCACAAATAGGGTTCGTGTAATTGTCTTTCCTGACCTTCGAGCAAATAGGGTGGTGGTTGAGTAACGTCGAATTTGGACCACTGTGAGAGTGTCAATTCCGGACTGTCGAACTCAATATTTGACTTGGTATTGGAGTCTTCGAGAATTGAACTTCGAGTCTGATGAGGTGTCTATAGACCATATCGGCGGGGTGTTCATGTATACGGTATTGTTGGGAATGCTGGATATATCCACTGTATCTTCAATCACCTGCGTGATCTGTCCAGCTCATACAGCGATAAATCCTAAGTATCTTGGGAATATGGCATTGTCGTAACTGCTCTGTGAGTATATACAAACTCGATTTCTTGATGAATCACTTCGAACTTGGTGATGGGCAATGCTATCCGAAAGACTTCTTTCTATTCGTTACCCGAGTCCAATTCGCTGAAAAGACTCACGCCTGGTCTCTCATCTCTTCGTACCTTTGTTTCTCTATTCGTACCGACAGATTTTCTTCAACTCTCGTTTTGCGTCCGCGTATATAAAAATAGAGTCGCGCGTGGCGCACATCGCACATTGCGATGATCGCACCTACAAGTGGAGATCCTCTGACGACAGTCGTTGTCACAACTCAGCAGCTCGTCCATTATTTCCATGACCCAGTTTATAATTTTCACTGTCTCCTCGTTCACAGTGATATGAAGGTGGACGTATGCCAGTGCCTATCTTCCACAGGGTGCGGTGCAAGTTGAATATGTGAGGAGACGCTCACTATGCAGTGATAATCACCACCGCCTCTTCGGCGGGCGAAACGGTGATGATGGTGCCGGAATCGTCACTGTGGCCATTCCGGCTAAGTCAACGGCGACGACGATGGCCACTAACCTTCCTTCTCGTGAAGAGGCTGATTGAGAAGGGCAACGTGCACCACAACTGCTGCATGAATGAGTCTGCCATGTATAGCTCATATATAAATTCCTCTGGTCCCTCTTCTCGGGAGCTGACAACTAACTTTGTCTTTCCAGAAAATGCCTCGTTCAGTTGTAGTGAGCACATCATGCTACTAGCTATAACCACGGTTAGTGTTATGTCATAAGAATCTATACTCCTGTCTTTAGGTGACAATAGTATTGTGTTCAACAAGTCACCAATGAAGTTAGCTGATGAGAAGGGGTTGAGGTATCCTTCAAGATCCACAGTCCTCCTACCTAGAGCCTATGTGATCGTGTACATAGTCAAACCTTTGTTCTCTCCGAACAGGGGCTATCATCCGAAGTCTTCCGAGATCAGTTGCGACAGGCGCCACCAGTCTAAAGTAATCACAGAATTACGGGAACTGCATCTCCGCTGTGGAAAACGAACACAATCGATTCTCAGTTCCAAACCTGCTTCACTGAAACCCCGAGAAACTTCCCTCCGAGACTCCGAAGCCAGATTATCCCCAAAGTAGTACAGGAATACAAAGTCGTACTTTGAAAGTACGATACTTCCTTTAACCCATAGGCGCGGCATTGAGAATTCAGCAGACAAAAGCACTAATAGGTCTGATCTTACCAATCTCTCCTCACCTTGAAATCCTCGAGCAACGAGTCTCCCTATTGAGAAAACTTCCCGTTTGGGGTTCTCGAAGTGATACTCAATTGAGATGGTCCTCAATAACGAGCAATAAATGGATTGAATTATCACGTCGTCCTACTCCAAGGCTTCGACCAACTTTTTCAGCGCCTTCCTCCGTCCTCGCAGTGACAGTGAAGGAATAAAGGTGGGCTGCAAGGCTGAGCAACAATTTATCGATCAGAAGTAGTCGCGAAATCGATGTGAGCATTTCTTGCATTTCGTGCACTTGTGTAGAATGTGTACCAGCAGCTCCACCACCTTCACTCAAGTAGTGACCATCACCATCTGTCAGCCTTACTTGTTTCTTTTCCCTGCTGAGTATGCAGTCGTCATCACCTCCCGTGAATATCACAGGTGTTGTGAACCTGTCCGATCTGGGAATCAACTCGAAGGACTTCCGCTTTGGAGTCCTCACTATGGAATCGGACAAGTAGGCTGTGGGCACTGCGCTATAACCCATGAGATCCACATGAAAATCATCAACCTACTGGAAACTCGATAGCTTAGTGATAACCGATGGTTAATGAGAGCACGCTTTCGTTAAGGACCGCTGTTGCCGGGATTGACACACATTTGAAGGTTCCTATGTAATTATGACAGATACGTTGCTGTGAGGGAACAGGCAGCTGATGGGTCGGTCCAGGTTATCACGGTTGATATGCACGATAACAATAAGGTAGTCGAAGAGAGCATGCGAATGGGTGCGCTATAGTAGGTGTTGTTAGGTTAGCAGGAGACCTATGAAGGCTGAGGCGGTCGTGATGAATCCCGTGGATAATATCATCGCACTTAAGGGTAATATCATTATCATATTTGTTGTAGTAGTTTATGGCGGCTATTCTCAGGTCGAGTGGAGGGCAATACGGGTCATTTCTTGCAAGTTTTCAACTTGGGAACGAAGGAGAAACTCGGGTCCCATCAGTTTTCAAATGAGCACATAGTTTTCTGGAGATGGATCACACCTAGATGTCTAGCACTGGTTGGGGATAGGTATAGATCTTCAGTTTGAAGGAGTTCGTTTTACGTTTGGCTTCAGATCTGTGTATCATTGGACCTTCGATAGCGCCAACTCGGCCCCTGTGAAAGTTTTTGATAGAGCCGGCAAGTTGGCTGAGAACACTACTCAGGTAAGAGTAAAGAAGTCTACCCTACATAATGCATGACGGCCCTTCGTATCAGATCATCGCCTACGCCACCAACAGCTCTCAAACGTGGTGTGTGCTCTCTGGTATTTCCACTCCCGATGGGGGCAGGACCATCGAGGGCTCTCTCCAGCTGTTCTCAGTCGAGAGGTAATAAGCCTTCCAACATTGACCGCACTCAACCAGCTGTTGTCGTTAGGAAACAACAACAGCTACTTGAGGGGCATGCTGCTAATTTTGCTGATGCTCCTGTGGATGACAGTGGCGAGGCTATCGGACTGTTCAGTTTCATGGAGAGGAAATCAGGTAGTCTGATCCAGGCTACTGCATTGTTTTTTATCACTGGTGGTAGGTTCTAATGCGACGAAGCTTCACATCATGGACCTAGCTCGTAAGAC